AATATCACTCGGCATGGCTAATATACGTGAACAAGACTTACTTGACATAGAAGACTGTAGGCCCTTCCGGCGCTGGTTAAACCCATATTGAGCAGCGCCTCCGGCTGACAACTGAATATTCTGTTTAAAATCAGATCCCAAGTCTCTCAAATTTTCCTAATTTATAGTGTTACTTTGCTGATTAGGCATTGACGACAGAGGGTAGTTAACTCCTCCTCCGTGCCCTCTATTCCCACAGTTATATTCTCATTGGATATTCTATGTGGCTGGGGGTGGACCTCTTGCGTCTTATCGCTGTGTATTACTCATATGACCATCTCCAGTGGCCTAGTTAGCGGAGCGTCTTGCATACGGTATTACGCATGAATGCTGATTATCGCATTCTTAACCTAATTGCGTGTCCATGTGTTGTCATCTTTGCTCTTTCACTGCAAAACACCTTTCGCAAGTCTCCAGGCACCTAGGTAATGACTTAAATTTTCAATCCCAAATTTGATCCTCAACAGTTACACTCACCACTAGTCGTTGCCTGCTAATGGCTCTCAACAGCAGATGTTCCCTTTACTCGGGATTCTCAAACTATCCCCATGCCTCAGCTACCAGCTTCTAACAGCAACAGCTCACAAGACTGAACTGCAGTTCTCTGACTAGCTCACTAACTTACCAACTCTCAGATACTTGAAAATTTGTTGATGTGGGGTACCTTCTCTGATGAGAGGACAGGTCTGCTCTTAACAATTGCTGCTGGTCCTTCCCAGTGCAGCCATTCTTGTGCCCAAGTCCCACAGGACTCATGACCATATTTTACTGTCTCAGATTCAAGACTTCCCCAACCTGGAAGGTCAGGTCCCCATATTTATATCCCCCAGGAACAAGGTGGCCCAATTACACCAGTTGTAACCCCCGTATATAGCCTTGGCACCACCCACACAGAAAATACTGACTCCATGGCTTCTTTAATGTTGAGTCTATTTTCCAAGAACTCATCCATTGTGGCGCATATTTAGCGCTGTAGGAACATTTTTACAAAGCCATTGCTTAGCAGTGGCCAATTGTTTTATGTTGCTGTAGCCTAGCAACTGATGTTTCTTCTAGCTTCACAATTTTGTATCTCGTTATGAAATTTTATTGTATTGATAATAAGTATCTGAGCATATATCCATGAATATTCACAGAAATAAATAGGATTACAGAGTGTTTTATATTCTGTAGGGATCAGACACCTGAGGGAAGTGTGACTCCAATTCCAGCAGAAGAAACTTTTAGTGACTTTGAGTCAAATGAAGGTGATAGTGAAACTCTTAAAAGTAGAGCAGCTGAACCTAGTGAATTATTTCCATCTGCTTCACCTGGTTCAAATATGGATAGTGCAGATCATGTAGCAAGGCGAGAGGATTCCAGAATAGAAGTTTCCGCAGTAGAAGCTTTGATGGCTCTTGCAGGTGAATCCCTTGGCCACAAAACCATAGTTCAAGGAAAAATTAAATTAGAGACAGGTGATACAACAGAAACATCACAGCAGTCACCTCCAAGTTCAGATGATGAAGCATTAGCAGTAAGAAGGCTCAAAAAGCAACATGAATCTTCTCACATGCGAGAGAACAGATTGGAAATTGATGAATGGACAGTGTTGCATAAAGTTCCTAATAAAACCCATGTCTCGGTTATTAATGGTGAAGTGATTGGAAAACAGAGTCCCCTGGATAGGACAGATACATCATTGGAGAATGACATGGAAGAGGAAGGAGGGTCCCCTGCACCACAAATTGCAATGGAGCATTCGTATAGCCTACCTCCTCAAAAGGATCCATCCACATCACCAGCAAGCATAGCTGAAAGTGATGGATCTGTCAAGAGAAAGTTATCCCATTATCAAAAATCTCAACAGTCACCTGAAGAAGCTGCATTTAATCATGATCATGGTTACATGATGCCACAACCTAAGACACCGCCAAAACCTCTGGCACCAGTCATGGAGGATAATGAAACCACAATAACACCAAAGTCAAAGAAACCTAGGAAATCATTTAAGTTTGAAGGTGCTTTAATGACACCAAAGAAATCTAGAGTTTCTCATTCAACAGAACCTGTTGTTTTTGGTAAAAGAGACATTATGGCTGAAATGACAGTTTTGTATGAGTTCTTAACCCGTGGTATTGATGCAGAAGATGTAAGTTACTTGAGGAGGAGTTATGAGGCAATGTTGGCAGATGACACTCAAGGCTACTGGCTCAATGATACTCATTGGGTTGATCATCCTGATATCCTTTCATATGCTAATATCCCTTTGGCTAGTATGATTGCATGTTATGTTTGTTTGATTCACATAGATCTTCAATATGAGATATGAATATATGTTTCTACAAGCATAAATTGTTAACAAAAATCAAACAATTTTTTTCTTAAAGTAAGTATACTTTATTGCAAAAAGAATATTTTTGAAGGCATGGGTATAAAGTTTATTTGTATGAAGAATTTATAGTTTAAAATAATCTCATTTATGAAACACAATAAGATTTAAATAAAAAATTATTACATGGGAATTCTAATAAAGAGGGCAGTGGGAACATAATCACTTTATATTAATTTAGTTTATGCTGAGTTTATCTATAATATGGTCATTAATTGTGGAAAGAAAATGTAGCACAGACATGCAGATTTACATCAAACTTGCATTTGCTTCATGGTTTCAAGGTCTCTGAAATGCATCACTATTATGCTGATGTCTACCATTCCCCACTAATTTAGCATATTCAGTTAATAAGAAATGTTTTCAGATCTCAAAACAGTCTATATTTAGAACTCCTGTCAGCAGTACTTAAAAGGGAGATATGAAAAGCGTGTAGTTGAGGATGCATAAGAAATGTAGTAGGAATATTTAGAAAAATTGTAATGATGCTACATTGTTGAAATATAGCATTGTTACAATGTTTTAAACATTATTTCACTTGCTATAATATTTTCAGTTTATCAACACGCCATTTCCCTTTTGATCGTGTAATTTGTACCACATCGAGATATTATTAGCATATCAAATTTTTATGTATGTATATTATATCACAGTTTATTTGTACTCTACCTCTAATCCACCATAAAATAATATTGATCTAGCAAGTATCTTTTGAATCTGTATTCTTATATTCCTGGGAAAGTTATGATAGCTTGAAGATCTGATGTATATAGTAGACTCTTGATTATTCTTATGCATATTATCCACTTTGCAGATTAACCTCTATACGTGTAGAACTCCTTAGTTATTGATTACAGTTTCCCCTAATGATTTAAGTTTTGCCCACTACATCCATTTCAACAAATTCTGCGTGATACTTTACAGCCATTTGCTACAGACAGTATGTCTTCTTACCATGTTTGAACTTTCTGTTTTACTACTTTATTGCTATTCATGGCAGCCTTCCAGCCCTGATTAATGTCCACTTCTTCTGTAATGGTAAGGTAATGGTAAAGTTGCCCCTGTGCATAATTAATTACTTATGTACAACACTATGAAGATGTATGGAGAAGTGAAGGTATAGCACCACCATTCTTGACCTCAGCAATAGATGGAGGTGAGCAGTCAGTTTCACACCCCAGTCGCTTTACTCCTAAGAAAAGCTCCCAGTACCCCATGGATGGGGCCCCAGAGCCAGTCTGGACACTCTGGACTAAAGAAAAATCTCCAGCTCTCTCCAGGAATCGAATCCCAGCCATCAAGCCCATAGCCCATCACTATACTGGCTCACCTCTTTCATCTGTAGAATGTTGTCTCACTGCTTAGTGAACAGTAGGATGACAATAATGAATTCATTTTCATGTTTGAGTGTAGCATGGATAGTGGGTATTTTAACTGTTATTTTTAATTATCCATGCCACTTTTTTTCCCTGTCAATAATCAAGATTTCACTGTCTTGATTCCTAGTATTGCAACAAAATTTAAAATTTTTCATTCAAATCCTTTTCTCCTACACAAGATATATTGAAAAGTATTTATTTGTTCCAGTATCCTATTATTAATAAGGTAAAACAATCCCTATAACAGGCCATGGAGGCCCATAGGGTTCCCATACATCAAGGCTGCCACATTTTCTAGACAGTCGGCTCACTGATGACATACATATCTTTATTAAAATTATATTCCGAGTACTGTAAATCACCTTCATCCTTGGTCAGAAGGATGTGATCATCCACAAATGGTACATCAATAGAAAATTATCAGAACTGCCATCTTTAAGCCATAGCCTTCCTTAGAAGATTCTGCCAGATTTGATCTGGTTTTCATTTCTTTTGATTTTGCAACAGTGATTTTTTTTTACAGAGCAAGGTCATAAGCCTTGCATCCAACCCCCAACCTGGAGGACCAGGTCTCTGTAATCATGTGGCCCAGTTATATGCCCAAGCACCAGGTTCCCTTTCCATTGACTTACAGGGTAGTATTCTAACCCACCTCCACACAGGATCAGTAAACAATAAAGAGATTCAGATAATACATGTTAGTGAATTTAATTGCTTAGGGTATTGTATTTAGTAGAGAGCCTAAATCCATATAATTTTAGAGAATAAATGGCATAGTAAAACAGCCTCAATATGTAACATTTTTAAACCTACTCAAAATTTTAAGACAGAGGTAATGCCTTTTGTTTTTGCATAGTAGTCAGAAGTGTGGAAAATAACAGAACATAACTGGAATAAACTTGAAGCTGCTAAAGTGTATTTTCTGAAATTACAGAAGTTGCGTTCTAAGATAAAATGCAGAATGAAGACATTCAGAGATTTCAAATTGGGATTGCAGATGTACTACAGAAATAAATTATGTTGAAAGGACAGGAAAAATTATATCCCAAAGAGTTTTTTATCCTGGTCCACGAATAAAAGGATTTTTGGAAGGCTGATAAAAATGGATTGACCAGAGGAAATTTTTATGGGGACAGGCCATTAAATTTTATCTCTGTTCGTCAAGTCTTATGTATTTGGATGCTAGTAGAAATTTTGCACAAAAGTAGCTAAGTTGTAAAATATGTATATATGATCTCTTTGTATTGCTGAAAGTGTTTTTAAAGAAATAGCCATTGTAATTTATTTCCAGAACTTTTTATGTACAGTGTTAAATCATGATGGAAATGTATTTATTTCTACCAATACTGGAGAAAGAACATACACGTTTTCATTTATTTAAGTTTGATGTACTCCTCTCTATAACTGTTGTCTGTCTGTCTATGATTGTACTTCCTACTGCCATATTAACCTTAACGCCAGCCCACTGACTGACCTTGCTTCACCAGCGAAGAAAAGGAAACGTGATGGTAGTAGAGTTCATACAACTGGATGTGCCCGGACAGAAGGTTTTTATAAAATTGACGTTAGAGAAAAGGCAAAGCACAAGGTACTTTTATTATGCACATTATCTTAAGTGTAATGATTATATCCAGAAGTTCTTATAGCTGTAAGTTATTTATTCTTGTCTACAGCCCTGTTTTATAATTTCTCACTTTTGCAGTCTGTTTCTGTGTTGTCAGACTTTATACATTTTCAGCATGCAATAACATTTTTTTTATTACTAGTGGGGTGGGACTAAGTCCCTTGTACTGCGGCCATTTCTGGCCTATTGTATCAGCCCCAGATGGTAGGTGAGGGTGATTGTGGAGCAGTTGGTGGAATGAAGATTGGCAGGGACAACAGAAGTACTCGGAGAAAACCTGCCCCAGTGCCACTTTGTCCACAACAAATCCCACTTGACCAGACCTGGGATTGAACCTGGGCCACCATGGTGTGAAGCCAGCAACTAACCGCTTGAGCTATTGTGCGGCCTTGCAATAACATAACTAAAGGAGCAGATATAGTGAACAGTAATGAGAATGTGTCATTTACAGCACCATTATGGACAAACAATCCAGCAGGCAGGCGGGAATGTCGAAGTTGGTGTTGGAGGAATGGCAGACCTGCCCAAATCTGTATCAGGCAAGATGCAGGCGTTATCTCGTGAAGCACGTAGTAATCAGCGCCGCCTCCTTACAGCATTTGGAATTGATACTGATAGTGATCTCTTGAAATTTAACCAGCTGAAGGTTAGACTTATATATAAGTTACTGTTTTGTTTTAAGAAAATCTTCTGTTCCTTTCACATTATTGATTTGAAGCTCTTAGTATATGAATGTTTCTGTACCGCATTTCTCACTTGAGAACTGGTAACATCTATTTTTGCATTGCTTTTAATCATGAGTTATTTGGTTATTTTAATTAGCTTATATTATTTCGACCCCACCTCCACATGGGTTTCCTCTAAGCTGCAAGCGGACTTGTGTTATATAGCCATGGCACAGACAACGCAGAAAACACAGTTCCACTGTTGGGATATGTTGTCATTGCACATGTGCAGAAGTGTGTTTACTGAACCACTGCCTAGAAGCAGGTTGCATAACCCTGTTGTTCCATTATTGGTTCATGTATTACTTAGATACAGCTGTTTCTGTGGCTCAACCATTCTTGCATGGGGCAAATACACCACAATATTCAGAAGGCCAAGGTGTAATGAACATGTGTAACATAAGTGCACTCCAGTATGGATTGCGTCTTTCCAGTTTCGTGCAAAATATTGTGAGCATCTGGAAGTAGGTTACCATTTTCATCCTTTCCCAGGTTCAGCTTAGTTTTGTATCCATCCTTAAATTCAGTTATGTCTGTGTGAGCCACACAGATGGTCCCTAATTTTTTCATAAAAGCTTAACAAGGGTGTCATACATTAGATTCTTATTACTGTGTCCATTCATTTCACACACTTCCTACAGTCTCAGCAGTTTATGTTGTTTCTTTTTTCCCCCATATTAAATTAATGTATTCTTCAGCCCCATGAAGCTAGCTGGCCCAGGCAGTACTGCTTCTAACTTGTATTCACGAGGTGCCTGGTTTGAGTCTCATCCAGGACACTAAATATCCTGTCATTTTTCTTGTGGTTTTCCTCAGTGCCATCAAGTGAATGCCAGGATAGACTTCAAATATTCCATGACCACTCCTCTCCATGTCCTTTCCAATTAATTGTCCTATCATTCCATTCTCTGTAGTCTGAGTCATTGTGTCAGTAAGTAAACAATAGATTTTCACCTTCCCAATATAATTTTATGTACTTAGTTTATACTCTGGAAAATATAATAGTAGGTTTTGTATTAGAGATATTGAGATGATATAATGTCAAGCTAAGCATGGATGTACAAACAAATTGTTTGCAAGAGGTTTTTGTTTCCTTCCAGTTCCGTAAGAAGCAACTCAAGTTTGCCAAGTCTGCAATTCATGACTGGGGCCTGTTTGCGATGGAGCCAATAGCAGCTGATGAAATGGTGATAGAGTATGTGGGACAGATGGTTCGTCCAGTAGTGGCTGACTTGCGAGAAAGGCATTATGAAGCAACAGGCATAGGCAGCTCATACCTGTTTCGAATCGATGTAGACACTATCATCGATGCAACAAAATGTGGCAACCTTGCTCGATTTATCAACCACAGCTGCAATGTAAGTAGTGTCTGAAACACCATTCAGGGTATGCCACACCTTGATAGGAAAATTTACTGAAGAAAAGTTCTGTGTGTTCAATGTCCTGTATGTTGATTTTAGTCTCCATCTTGTGTTGAAAACAGAACCTAGTATCTACCTAATGATGACATAACTATCTGATGAAGGCCCAACCTCAGACATGTTTTGGACGTAGTCTGAAACCATATGCCATTAATTACTGGGAATCCATCATTTTCACCAGTAAATGTGGATTCCCACTCCTGTATTACAGTTTTTAAGATTTAATTTGTAACCATTGTTCCTTTTATTTTTAAGTGGATGCCAAATCATTGCCTGATACCACTGTAGTAATTGATAATTTCTATAGAATTTAGAGACGGAAAGAGATATTTCCATAGCTATAGGATGTAACAGTGTCAGTTCAGTTCAATCTCCATGAACCATTTACAGTAAATTCCCCATTATCCAACATGCATGGGGAATGAGATGTTCCAGTTACTTGAATCTGCAAGTTGCATGAGAAAAACTTACAGAAACCAAATTTTTACATCTTTCCATTTTCTATTTTCAAAATCAAAATGTGTTTCAGTTTAGTTCTTGCATGGGAGTTTTCATAAGTGATATTACAGATTAATGGATATACTGTAACACGATCATTAATTTAACTAGCATACTTTTTGAAGAATGCCATCTTCTGCGATGTTGTGCCGTGCAGATCTTGTGTTCACAGTCACTGCCGTGAAAACCTCAAATCTTACAGCATACTTGTTTCTCTTGTTGCTTATTTATTTGATACCTTACTTTCATTCTTAAAATGTCTGCAACTGAATTGAAAGTGTATAGAGGCCTATGCAAAATAATTTTATTATCATAAAGTGGCAGAATCTGCAACATCTTAGATATTTTTAACCCAGTTGTAATAAAACAATAATATTGTTACAGGTTTAAGTCTGCATTCATACCTCACATATGCTATATATAAAATTAACTCTTTTCCTCTTTCTCTCTCATTTTTCAGCCCAATTGTTATGCCAAAATTATCACAATTGAAGGTCAGAAGAAAATAGTTATTTACTCCAAACAGCAGATAAGTGTTAACGAAGAGATAACATATGACTACAAATTCCCTATCGAAGACGAGAAGATACCATGCTTATGTGGTAATGCGCAGTGCCGAGGAACACTGAACTAAATCAACACAGGAGGTTGATCATGTACAAAAATGAAATGCACTTTTTGCTTGATTTCATCATTCTGCATACAAATTCAGCAAATATAAACACATTTGTTAAGTGTGTGGATCAGTGGAGCATGACATCGATATTAAATGTGCATTCCGGTGATCCTGGCATTGCTGCTTTATGTGCAGACAGAATTAGCAAACTTATTTACATTGTGATTGTAAAGACAAAAGTTGACTATTATTAACATGGTTTAAAATTTTAAGTGGAATTGACTCTATTGCCTAGCCAATAGATATACTTGTGTTATGTGTACAGTGAGTGTGTGTGTGAATGTAAAAATCTGCATATGCTAGATAACATCCTCATTCTAGCTGAGAGAATGGACGTGTTACTTGGTGCATTGAAGTGAAGTGTGAATTTTTTAGACCCATTAGCTGAAAGCTTGATACATTATTACAGTACATAGAATCTGTCCCAATGTACAGTTAAGAATGCAAAGAGTAAAACCCCCAGTCTCTTTTCTTTTTTTCAAATGACAGTAATTTCTGCACATATCCTTTTGTTTTTCTTTAATTTACCCTAATATTTTTTATAGGAATCAGAAGTTGGATGACTTACGTGAATCTTGTTAATTCTTTGTTTCAACAAGATCATAAACAGGTTTGTTTGTGGTCATAACCTATTGTGAAGTATATCAGATAAATGATACCATTTTTTTAACATATATTTGTAGTATATATACATAGACACATGGCCATGTGGATAAGAGAATATTTTCTGATAAAATTAGCACATGATATGGCGTGTTTTTATCATCAAACAGTGCTGAAAATCAATATACAGTTCTCATTTCAAGTTTTAATTCTAATTTCTGCAGTTTTATAAACCAGCTGTTCCCAGGATTGCTATAACCATAGAGGAATATAGTTTCAGCCCTTAGAAGTACCAAAACCACACCTTTGGGACTGGTGAATTTCTTTTCAGATCTCAAGTTCCTTGACAAGAACTCACATTATAGTTGTACATATCTCAACTGACAGACAACTGGTTTCAAAGCAGTCGTCTCATATTAAACTTAACTTGATTATGTTTACAGAGTACAGGCTTCATGGGAGCAGAAAGCAATGAAGTTTATGTAGACATGTGTGTATTAGATTGTTTGTTGGTATTTTCAGCTTGAAGATGCTGCATGTCAAGCTGACTCTGAGCAATATCAGCAAGCGCTGCCTGAATCTGTTCCAAGAGAGCTTCTCCTCGCCTTACAACTTCTTCTAGTCTTTCTCCTGCTTCTTTGTTGTCTTGTTCCAGTCTTCTGAGACTTGCCACCTAATGAAAAGCATGTCATGTGAACTCTTCTGAATACTCATTACAGTAAGCAGCATTTGAACATAAATATAATTTTCACCTCACCCTTCAGACCCACGTTATATACCAACTATTATATAGCTACATTCACATTACACAAATACAATGAACGCCTAAAAGAAATAGACAATTTAAATGACTCATGTTCGTGAAACTTACATGCGCAGCCCAAAAAAGTCAACAACACACACAAGTTTAGAACTTCCAAGTTCCTTAAAAGACTGTGTGGAATATCTTGCGTAAACATTTACAAATGTTCCCTTACCGGTTGCAATTATTGCAGAACTTCACAGAAAACGACAAAATCCTCCGTCATTCATTCTGTATGGACATGCAGCAACGGAATGAAGAAAGTAATGATTTCTTTAACCGGCTAGTTTTCGGTGATTAATCAACGTTTAGTGGTACGGTGAACAAACACAACATTCGTATATGGGGAACTGAAAACCCGAGAGCTGTAGTAGAGCATGTGAGGGATTCAACTAAAGTGAACTTTTTTGTGCTGTATCCCGTAAAAAGGTGTACCCATGTAAACTTCAGGGCTTACTTTTCAAACCATGTAAGTATCTCAGCCATGCTATTAAAACTCTTCTTTCTGTAAAACTCTGAAAGCCTATTTCTTTTAGGCTAACCCTGTACATTAACACATCATCTTCCTCTGCTCTGATTTTCATGTTTTAATGTACTTGATATCCATACACACATGCGTCATAGAAAGGTTGTATTTCCAAGAGGCCTTTCTTCCTTCCTTTCCTGTCTTTATATTTATGGGGCTCTCTTTATTTCATCAACAAGAAAGTTCTATACATCATCAAACAAGACTGTTTTCATTTCACCATCAATTTCCTACTAAATTTGTTTGCACTTCTCTGATTCAGAAAAGCATTAAAATATATTGTGTCGTACAGACAGTGGCCAGTGCGCCAATGGACTGGCTGGAAAGTAGCATTTTCTATGCGGTCCATCCTGCGAGTCGTAGGAGGCGACAAAAAGGGAAGTCTCAAATTTGAGACAGTAATATATGGTCTCAAGTACCGAGGGACTCAGACCCAAAAAAGACTGCGCTGGCAAGGACCAGCAGCATATACAAAAGACAGACCTGTCCTCTCGTCAGAGAGGGCCCCCACAAAAAACAAGACTGTAACTCAAAAAGTAATAAATATCTGGTCATGAGCCCCAGGAGGGTGCTCGACACCAAGACTTGCTGACTGACTGGCTATCAGTCGCAGTGTGACTTTGACTCTGACTTTAGTTGTGCGATATTTGCCAGATGGTATGGACATTGTCAGGATCCATTACCAGGAAATGACTAGTGAAGACAGAAGACTGTGTGTGCTGTAGTTACAGTGATCTTTAGAGTGTATAAAGCAATGAGACTGTTCCAGTTACTTGTAGTTATGAGTAGTGTGTTTAAGTGGCCAATAAATGAGTCACAGAACTGGCCAACAAGTTGATGAAACACAGGTGGACTTCCAGGTCATAAGGATGTCTGTCAATATGTGGACAAAGAACCTCCTGGAAACCATAACAGACACAAGAAAACATGTTCATGAAAAACCCGGCCTCATGATCCAGGGCAAGACACAAATGAAGTCTCTAATAGATATCATGCAGCAAGGGCTCAAGGCCAAGAGAGCAGAAGTTGAGGCCCAGGCCAAGAATGGAAGAGGAGCCGGCGCAGGTGCAGTGAAGCCACCGAATTTCGACAGGACTCAGTCATGGGCCATGTTCCAGTGCCAGTTTGAGACCACAACTGCTGGACACCCTAACCACTATACCGCCCTCTGCAACCAGAAGCTCACAAAAGGATCTTCCTTGGCATACTGTGAGCTAGTCACGCTGGTGACCCCACCCAGTGTGGAACAGAACAACCACAGGTATGAGATACTACCCTGAAGTTAGAGTGTGTGATTCCAGCAGCCAGACTAAAACTGGGTGACGCTGAATCCCAAGAGTTGGAAGAGCCCTCACCAAGTATGGGGACATCTTTGGTATGAAGAGTGATAACTCCAGGCCAACTGACAAGTGTGTACCATGGTATATAGATATGGGGGAGGCCTGATCGATCCTCCAACCCCCAAGGAGAACCCGTAGCAAAACAGGCAGATGTGGGCAAGCTGCTCAAGCACATGAACATTTGAATGTTTAATGAAGACTATCTTAAAAAGAGACCTCACTTAAGAGTCATGTCTCATGTACCTGGACAATGTGATCATGATTGGCTGCATGTTCCAAGACCACCTACTCAACCTGTGGAAAGTGTTTCAGCGGTTCCGAGAAGCCCGCCTACAGCTCAATCTGGAGAAGTACGATACCTCAGGCATACTGTGTCACTTGGGAGGATAACCACCAACCCCGAGAAGCTGAAAGCCATTTGGGAATGGGCAATCCCAAAGAATAAGCATGAAATTAGAAACTTCCTGGGCCTATGCACATATTACAGACGTTTTATTTCTGATTTTGCCAACACTGCAAAACAACTGACCAAACTCACGGAGGAGATGCAAGCCTTCCAATAGACTCCAGAAGTAGAGGTCACCTTCTGAACACTAAAGGAGTCTCTCTGTAGTGCCCATATTCTTGCTTACCTACAGTCAAGAGTGAGATTCGTTGTTGACAGACCTAAGTAAAGTCGGGTTTGGAGGAGTGCTGTCCCAAGTACACGATGGACAGGAGCTAGTAACAGCCTACTACAGTAAGACACTGAACAAGACTGAGAGAAATTACTGCATCACCCTATGGGAACTACTTGTAATCGTGAGGAAACTGGAACATTCCCATAAGTACCTCCACAGACAAGAATTCCACCTGCGCACTGACCACTCTGTATTAACCTTGCTCACGAGTTTTAAGAACCTCGAGGGAAAATCATCCGCTGGATTCAGCGCTTACAAGAGTATAACTTCACTTCCGAACATTGTTAAGGCCAAAAATGACCATGCCAAGAAGAGTGTACTCACTGCCACAAAGTTGAGGCGATGGCAAATGTCAAGCAAATACGAGCTATTGCAGCTGTAGCTGCAGCCTGCTGGGATCCAGCTACTCTGAGAACAGAACTGAACAACCAGGACATAGGGCCCATTCTGGAGGAAGCAGAGACTGGACAGCTGCCAGGATGGAAAGAAATCACCAACGGCAGCCCCACATAAAGAAGCTGCTGGGCCCAATGGAAATCCCTCTCTGTGAGGAACATTGTACTAGAGCACCACTGGGAATCTGCTGATGGACAATCAAAAATAGCCCAGACAGCTCTCCCTTGGAGAAGAGTAATGACATGCTGGACAATCGGGAAATCACTCGGGTATCAAGTCCCTGAATAAGGTCTGGCAAAGGTACTACTGGCTCAAGGCAAGAAACAATGCTGAGAAATGTTGGCAGCGCGACACTTGTGTAGCCAGTTGCAGCACCTGAACCAGAAATAGAAACCAGATGCATCAGTACAATGTCGGGACCTCATTCGAAAGGATAACCATCGATGTAACAGGACCCTTCCCACAGAGCAACCAAGGAAACCGATACCTCCTGATCATTATGGACTATTTTACAAAGTGGCTGGAAACCTATGCCATTCCCAGTCAAGAGGCAGAAGTGCTGCTTACCAACTTCTACCACTTTGGAGCACCGCAGGAGCTACATAGTGACTGGCTCCATAACTTTGAGTCTTGTCTGATACAGGAGGTTTTGCAATGCCTGGGAGTGAGCAAAGAGCGCACCACACCACGGCACCTGCAATTGGATGGCATGGTTGAATGCTACATCAAAGCGGTCGAGGAACACCTATGGAAAGTTGTCGCATTGCATCAGAGGGAGCGGGACACAAGATTACTGGTCTTCCTCCTCCTTACAGGTCATCCACATATGACACTACGGGCTTGACCCTGGCTAGCCTAGTGTTCAGAAAAGAACTCGTGACTGCCCTGCAGTCTGCTCTTTCAGACACATTCCAACAAGGGACAACCCACAATTATGCCCACCAACACCTGAAGCTGACTAGTGACTGGATGAAAACTCGTTAGGACAGACTGGCCAACTGCATAGGTTACCATGAGGGCATCAAAATGTAGCTCTATTGCCCTACCCACAAGAAGGGGAAATCACCCAAGCTCCAATCCTTATGAAACGACCCATAGAAGGTAGTCACCCAACACTGTTTAGATGATACCCAATTCTTTCCTGCAGTTATACACAAAACTGTTAAAAGTAACCACAAAAAGCTAGAAATAATTTGTTGAAATTATTCAGGGGGCAAACAATCTCCACTAACAAAACTATGTTTCCTTTTTTTAAGGAAAGGAACTAGGATTATCTGGTATCTTTCAAAAATTTTAAACTTCCAATGAGGTAATTTTTTGTGGAATATAAAATTGCATGCAGCTATGCAGAAACGTTCTTTAGCTTTCAGTTTAATAGCAATAACAAATGAACCATAGATGATATGTGAAATTTGGCAAGGTGATAGTGTGAGACTTTGCTGGTTATACTTGGAAAATTTCATGCAGACATCTTTTCATAAGAATAAATTAATAGTAATGCATCTCAAGGACTAGAAGTCTAAGAAGCTGGAAAATTAAATTTATGATTTCTGCTTGGAACACCTTATGAATTTCTTAGATTTTCATGGTGAAGCTATGAAATTAAAAGTTTTACTTAACCACATACTTTTTATAACTGCAATGAAAACTAGGAGTTATGTATGCAAATACACCACAAGGATGGATACTAACAGTATGATACTATCAAATATTCAAAGGCATCAAATTCTGACCGCAGCCAAAATTTTGTTGCTGTAATGAATGTTTATGTTCATCTGGGCTCTTGGTCTATTCACTGGATAAATGCAGAAATTACACTTCATCTGCTATAATTGCTTAAAAGCATCTAAGGAAAAAACAACAGAAAATTTTAATTCCAAATACAAAAAAAAAGTTATTTCTACTTAAAATATATATTTCTTACTAGTTTGAATGGCACATTGTAATAAAATTACAGATACAGGATTTACTGTACAACTGGAAATTGACAGGGAAATAATTCATTAACACTGCTGATCAAATCATAAAATAAAAGGCTAATACAGAACATGAAAAGTAACATACAGAGTTCTTTCACATCCAGATTTCTCAACCACTAACATCCACCTAACCAGATTCCCTTTAGTCAGTATTTCAGATTTTACCATTTTGTTTCTCTGGTTTCACCTATCAGAAAGATTTGCTACTACCTCTTCAACTTACATTTTTTTAAACAATGCTAAAATTCAAACATTCAAAGAACACATTAGGTAAAGAGTACTGAAAGGTTGAAACTAGATCATCAATGCCCCGTACCCTCCTTTTCCACATACTCGGGACTGTTCATGCTGCAGCCAGGCACCAACTGTTATGCATTTAATTCCCATGTTTTGTTATATGAAAATCCATAAACACAAACATCATTACTCTTGTCAACATTTAGTGTGGGCTGATTGACTGGACTGCATGTCCAGCTGACCATTTAATGTTTCTACACAGAACTCCCTTTCTTTTAGATATATTCCTCTGTGGACAAGAATTATGGCTGGAAACTAGATAAGTGAATGGTGTATAAGATTGAGAGCTTATATACCAAATGTCCCTAGAGTAGATATTTGCTTTAATGGTACTGACAACTATGAGGCACATATTCAAAATACCTGTACCCTTCTGTTAACATGACTTTTGATAAATGACAAAGCTCTCTTTACTTTTACCGTATGAAAAGAAGTAGTCATTACATGAGACATCCCATACCTGCAAATCAGTGGAGGATTCCTCACTAGGCAGAGATTCAATAAGTACATCAATATCTTTTGCACATCTTGCAATCAGTGTTGCAAAGAGATGAGCATAATCTGAAATTAAGAAATTAATATGTTGATGGATCTTGGTTCATAACGTTGGTTGACACTGAAACTCAAATATGAAAATAACAAACCTTCTTGTTGTTGCTGCTGTGGAGTTTGTGACCCATTACGATCAAAACCTGGGAATTTACTTGGTGTTGAATACTGTTGCAAAATACCAATGCTATTGCAAAAGTGATCAGCCTGCTATAAAATAACACAAACATAAACTTAACCTTAAAATGACAATACTACGCAAGGTTGAACATAACTCTGACTTGTGAAAGGAGCGTAAGGCGATTAGTGTTAGTCAATACACATAAAAAACATCTGTTTCAAATAAAAAGAAATGGCTACACTTGATACCTGATTAATCGTATCTTGTAATTGAGTTAACCTATCCGCCATTCCTCATTCCCACTGTCCACCGGTCTGCAAGGTCACGACCGGTCACGACTGTCACAACCAATCACGACGTTGAAATGTGCAGGAAATACTAAATGCAGATCGTCAACTTAACACTATTTATCTTACTGATGTGAAAATCCCAGTGATGCACGGATTATTAAATTGTTACTAGTAACATCTAATTTCCGTCCCTAAGATTATTTCAACATGCAAAGTATCCTAATTATTCATCAAAGATGCTGCACGATGCTGTTTGACGCTTATCCGAACGCTATTGGTTGGAACATACACGGCCTGTACGGCGTATGGGGTAGTTATGCCGGTGACAGAGTTTTGGTCGGTCAAAATGTTCGTTATTATCCCTTTAGGAGATACTCCTTTAATGCTAGATTAAAGAGTTTTATATAATGATAAACATACTTAATTGTTGTAGGTTGATTATTGAATACTTTAGTTCCAGTAGAGCAACATCCTCTGATATTTATTGGGGTTAGTGCTTAGCACAAAGAAGGTATATGTGTATCATGCACTTGCAATGTGTAGATCCATGTTTAAAAATTTTAATACTGTCCACAACAAATGAAAATAATGAGAGTAACAATTTGCTAGCTAGCAGAAGAGTGCAAAATGTCTTATACAATTTCATAGAGATACACTCATTTTAATTCCTGCCATTACTCTGTTGACTTTCTTTTGGATACAATTCACTTTTCTGCTCTTTGTTGATTATACCCTCAAAAGTATTTTGTATGACACAATGGAATGCTTCGATGCTTCCGAAACATGGACATACAGAAACTTCCCGTTGAGTGGAGATCCAACAGAAAAACATGGATGACTTCACAGATCATGGAGGAATGGTTAACAGCCTTCAATGGTAGAATGAAAATGCAAAACCGGCATGTTTTGTTGTTCTTGCTTTCAGTAACTGCAATGCTGAGGACTGCATCAACACAGACAAAGATGTGCAAATAGAACCAGACACAATGGATATCAATGTATTAGTTGAGAATTTTAGAGAAAATCTAAAAGGAAGAAGGGAGGAGGAAGAGGAAGAAGATGGAAATGACATTCTGATAGAAGAAAAATGTAGAGTGAAGACTTTATCAGGATGCTGCCAACAGTTTAAAGGTACTGCAGGAGTTTGCCGTGCAATGGAATGATTCAGACATGCTTACTCTAATTTCTCAAGCTAAAGTGTTTGTGGAAAGTTAGGCAGCCAAGAGAGTAAACTGCATGCAAAAAAAAACTCTGCCAGAGTTCTGGTAGAATTATAAAAAGTGAGTACTGCAATTTTTTTCTTGTTTGGTGTAATGTTTGCATGTGTTCAATGATTATAGTGTGAATAAATTAATGAGCATGTTGTTTTGTTTTGTCTCAAATACGTTTATGTCCTGGTTTAGTTATTATAGTATACCTTAATTAAACGGAGACCTGGCTTCAGCGGAAATTTTTTCTGGTCCCTTGAGATTCCATTTAAGACAGGTTTTACTGTATTTGAATTTAGAGGTATGCAATAATGCATATGGGATTCCTGCAAGAAATACATTTCATTTAGAAAATTAATTTTTCATCACAAGCTATGTTGATGCTTCCAGTTACTTAAATTTAATCTCTGTTGTGGCTTTTCTTTTACTGAAAAATAAAAGCCCTTTTTCATATATGCTAAGTTAGCAATCATTAGGCATTTCATAAATCAAATATCAACTTTTTAAAGTTATATGTTTTATTTAGTTGCTTTTCATTGCATCATTGCCTGCGCATATTTGCAAATACAGGTAAAACGGTTTATCCTTTATCCTTCCAGTGCCCTTTCTGTTGTAATGAAATACACCTTTTTCTCTCTGTCTTTGCTCTTTATAGTTTGGGGCCTCTGGATCATGACAAAGCTTGAGGCCTCAGCAGACCTAAGTCTGAACCTGCCCCTTCACAGTAGATCTGTACTTTGCTAATCCCTGACCTGCCATACAGCAGTGATCTCATACAGGTTTCGTGTGAAAGTTAAAGTCATTCTGTGACATATGGTGGGTCAGGGCATGTTACTGTCGAGCCCCATGAGGGGATCATGACCAGATTTTAGTTATTGTTTGTTGCACACCTACGAATTTGTCGATGCGAGGTGCCCTATCTGACGAGTGAACGGGTCTGTCAGTTTCCAGAGTGATAGTTAGCAAGTCTGTCAATTGCCAATACGTACACGGCATTTCCAGCTTTTAATTTCTATGTATTTCTACACAAGATTTGCCGCGAAATTAAGAACTCAGGCTTCAATACAAATACTGAAATTATTAATCGCAAATTCCAATAAACTTACATCATTATTGTTATTTAAGTTTTCTATTTATTATTATTATTATTATTATTGTTATTATTTTAATTTTATTGTCTCACTAATTTTAAACTTCACACGATTTGCTTTGCTATGCATCTACTCATGTACACCCCATATGCCTCATGTCATTTCCGCTTCCTTCATATATAGCGATATAAGGGTGTAGTAAACGGCTTGACTGAGCGTGCTTCATGTTTCGTGTCTTAAGGACTTAAAGGTATTTACTTTTCATATTTTAATTAATATTAGAAACATGAACTACCGAGAAACTTAGGGATCTAAATTATATGAATATGTTGATCTGCGTATAAGTGAAGTATTTAGAAACTTGACGCTGAGGTGTGTGGACTTCATATGGCCTCGTGGTTCGTTGCGGGACAAAATTACGTTTTTTAGCATTTGAAAGTGTGTTCCAACCATGATTCCGTATTTTATAGTTGTAAGAAATGTGTAGCTTTACGAAAATGTTAAAGAGGGTGCCTTCATTTGGTGATGTAATGTAAGATTTTTATAAACATGGCTCATTTATATTCTTTTTCAGAATGCGTTACGTGGCCGCTTACTTGCTTGCCGCACTTGGCGGTAAAGAGAACCCAAATTCTGCAGATATAGAGAAAATTCTTAGTTCTGTTGGCATCGAAGCAGATTCAGAGAAACTGAAAAAAGTTATCAGTGAATTGAATGGCAAGAACATTGAAGAGCTGATTGCTGCTGGTAATTTAATTTTGGAAAACTTACCAGTTTTGTACAAAATCCACAGTGCTGCAGCCATTATTTCCAATATTTTTATGATTGAATAGGTGTTGTCTAGAATCCTGCCACTTTATTTATTTAGTCTCTATAGATCATTGTTACATGATATAGGACAAGTCAGTTACTGTACATCAGCTGATTACAAGAAGAGAATAAAGTTACAATACTTAAAATTGTTTACACTAGATTACAGTAGATTACAATAGTTAAGATTTCATATAGTGTGAGGTGGAATCCATATTAGGTCCCCTCGGCACGTCGGCTTCCATATGTCCTATTGTACCTGCACTGGTGATAATGCTTATGCTTATTCTGTAATGCTCAGATTAAGGTTTTAAACAATGCAAAGAGCAGTAAGATCAAGAACACTAGAGACCTGTATAGAGGAATAAATGAGTAAGAGCGGTTATGAACAGAAGTAAATTAGTGAAGGATGAGAATGGTGATCTTGCAGATTCCCACAATATTTTGAATAGGTGGAAGAACTACTACTCTCAATTATTGAATGTACATAGGGCAGTGATGTTAGGCAGATAGAAGTACATACAGCTGAGCTGTTAATGCCTGATCCTAGTCCTTCTAAGGTTGGAAGTGCTATTGCAAAATTGAAACAATATAAATCGCCAGGTTGTGATCAAATTCTGGCAGAACTTATTCAAGGAGGAGTGAAATATTACATCCTAAGATCCACAATCTAATTACTTTTATTTGACATAAGGAAAAATTGCCTGGCCTAGCTTTCTATGCCACTCTACACTTGTATCTTGCTGAGTCGTCATAGCTTCATTCCTCGCGCTAAAGTTAATTACAAACCATTTTCATCCTTTTTTCCTTTGATTACAACATTTTTGTCCTTGAGTATCTGGACCTTCTCTTTTGTAAACAACACTTCTCCGTCATTTTCTGTAATACAGTGCACTGACAGCAGGTTTTTGCTGAGTTTTGGAACATACGAAACGTTTTTCAAACTACACTCTTTAAATTCCAAATTGCCTGTTTCTATTGCAGTCATACTTTGAATTTTCTTTGCTACCCGTATACACTGAGTATACTGCTTAGTATGTATCAAATCAGTCTTCATATTTGTCATATGACATGTGCTACCACTATCCACTACATACATTTTGTCTTTTTTACTTGCATCACTCACATGGGCTTCTGCTGCTTCAGCTAGAAAATTGACCTTCTATTCCAATCTTTAAAATAACAGTCCTTTTCAGCATGGTTCGTTTTCTTACATATTGTACATTGTTTCCTTGTATAAGTGTCAGTCATGTTGCTGTCATCCTTGAATTTGGCCATGGGTCTCTCTTAATTCTGTGTTTGGAGTTAAATGTATTTACTAGTACTAGCTAGATCTAATGTAACATATGCCATTCTAGCACATCTTAAAGATTATTGATTAAATATCAGGGCACAGGATACCATAGTTGGTTGAGGCACTGTGCTGCAAGCCAGAAGGTCACAGGTTCAGTCCCTGATGAGAGCATTGGATTTTTCAATTAACCTAATCCTTCAAGCCACACTATGGCTCTGGTCACCTCACCCGTCTAGCAGAAATAGTACCAGGAACATTCCAGGGGTAAATGGTGGCCAGCAAGTAAGGCTGATAGCCTTACCACCATCTGTGTGCTGATTTTCTAGAAAATTTGGGAGCCTCAATGTCTCACAGCCCTTTAGGCCTCCATGACCTGTTACAAAGATAGCTTTACTTATTTTAATAATAGTGGCATTTTATTTGTTACTAGATTTCATTTCATTTGATGTGTGTATATCACTTAGCTAATGGCTTATCTTGTCGCAGCGTCTTGGTCATTACATTTTTTCAGCCATACACCCTTAGTTTGATTGGTTTTCAAGCCATTTTGTTGGTGCTTCTGCAGAATCAAAAATGGAAAGTTATCCACATTCTGGCTTATTTGCTCTGGATAAGTAATAAAAACAAATGGTAAATATGAATGCATATCCAGAAAGAGAATGGACCATTTTTCAGGTGGTGATTTAATCTCCACCTCATGTGAAATCCATTGCTGAATTGTACACATATATTTTCTCTATGGTTACTTGCTCCACTTTATATCCCCTGTAGGCATCTCTTAGAATAGAGCCACAAAGTGGTGCTTCTATCAGTAGTGTTCCTGTGAATTCCGTCCAACTGGCAAGAAACATGCCTAAGCATTTTTTATATATTCTATAATGCAAAAACTGGATGAACATTACCAGAGCTCATAGATTCTAAAGGTTCTTAGTGTTACCAGAGTTGTTTTTATCTCTAGTCCTTTGGGGTTTATAAGAAACTGTGATTTCTCCAGGTCGGGAAAAGCTTGCAACGGTGCCTGCAGGGGGAGGTGCTGCAGCACCCGCTGCAGGAGGTGGGCCTGCTGTTCCTGCTGCAGCAGCTGCTGTACCTGAGAAAGGTTAGTGAAAGAGTTGGCAGTCAGTTTGTAGTGCCACAACCTATTTCTATGAGTTACTTTAATGGCATGTTACCATGTATGTACTGATCTCCCAAATTGTCTTTTTCCACAAACTTTTCTAACCAAAATTTTGGCTGTATTTGTTTAAAGTTATAAATGAGAGGAAATATTGGGCTTCAGTTTTATGCCATAGTGGGTAGTTTTAAATGTGGCTTCCCCCACCCCTACGTTCAACATCAGGAAATGCAGAATATTTCATGTAACATGGGTTCTCTAATCACCATCTTTCAACTGATGTTTTGATGATACATATTTTTCTGATTAACATAATTCATGTTCTTACATTTCACATACCTGCTGTGACTTGCATTCTAATGGATATATTGTTTTTGTTTTCAGAGGAGAAGAAGGTTGAAAAGAAGGTCGAATCTGACTCCGAAGATGATGATATGGGCTTTGGTCTCTTCGATTAAACTCCAGTACATTCTTATTTGTATGTTTATACTATATCTTGCTTAAGTTGTGCAGTATCGCCTTTGTAATTGGGAGTGGGGGGGACTGCATTTATGTTACTGGTTTTGTATGTTCTATAGTTCATTTATTTACTACAGCTGTGCATTAATTGTAATGTTCATATGTTCACCCAGCTGCCACAAAAAACACTGCTTATTCTCACTCATGCAAGTTGCATTATAGGTTTGGAGATGACTATAGAGACTACAGTCCATTTGCAGAGATGAGAGAGTCCTCGTAAACAAAAGCACGTGCTATCTCCTTCGCTGTTTGAATGAAATCATGCAGCGATCACGCGATGAGTGTACCATTGCAGGGGCGTCCAAAGTTCACTCTTCAGTCTCAGTACAGGTTAACATGCGTCCGAATGCAGTGATTACACTGAAGTAACTGCGTGCTTTGTCCACTCCTTTCTGTCAGCTGTCGCGACGTGGGGCTTGCTTTGTTTACGCCAACTGTCTCGTCTCCGCAAATGGACTATAGCAGAATTTCTTATCATGCTACAATATATGTTATGTCTTTCGTCCATCTGTCAACTGACTCAGTTTGCCACCTGCTTTCATGTGGGTATCTTGCTCAGTGTATTCAACCTTGAAGATGGAAGCAATGTGTTCTCCAAAACGTCAGTTGCCTTTCAAGGGACTACATGGTGTTATATCCCAGAAGATAGTACTCTTTATAATTACCACTGTGAGAACCTTAGTTCCTAGGTAAAAACACATTGTTTCAATTTTGAAACAGAAACTGGAAGCATATGAAACATGAGAAAGTGTGAAAACTGCAAGAGTTTCTTTTCTGTAAGTTTTTATAATGTAGCCAGGAGTCATACATCTTGTACATCCCACATTATACATAAATGATGGGTGTAGATGTTTTATTCTTATTTCATTACATTTATGGGAACGAAAAAATGAAAATTTATAAGTAAAGTAAAGCTATTCCTGTAATAGGCCGTGAAGGCCCATAGGGCTGTGAGATGTTGAGGGTCCCACATTATCTAGACAATCTGCTCAAAGATGGTGGTAAGGTTGTAGAGCCTTACACATCGACTGTGCTTTACTCCCCAGGAAAATTATTTAATTCCTGGTACTCATTTCTGTTAGAGGCCAAGTCAACCCAAGGGCCATAGTGCTGCTGGAGTGATTAGGTCAATTGAAAAATATCCAGTGATCTCATCGGGACTTGAACCCACAACCTTCCGGCTTGTGGCATAGTGGTTCAACCAACTAATAATAATAAACCGATACAGAAAATAATGTTGAAGTCCTTTTCTTAATTTGATAGTAATGATACCCTGTCAGGGTTGCCATAGTTGCTGATGATTGAATGTATGAAGGGTGGGCCTTCTTGGCCCTTGCACTGCGACCACAGTGATCTGTTGTGCCTTGCCATAGTTACTAATAATAATTGCGAGAAGAGTGCAAGATGATTGGTTCCTGTGACTTGCATGTTGCAGTAGTTTTTGTGTGGCATTTATGAATTGTTTGAAGTATGTCTTCTAGGTGAAACTGATGACCTGTTTTAATGTTTTGGTCAGAAATTCTCATGTTTTGGCAAGTTGTCACTAAAAACTGGCTGGCTAGAGTTTGAAAAGTCATAGTTTATAATCAAATACAGTAACATGTATTTGCAGAATGAAGTGGTGTGCTATATGTGTTGAAATGATGAATTAAAAATACATATCACCATCTTTCGACTGATATTGATTGATGAGTTTATAGAGCTGACAGCACATTGTTTCAGATTTTTTGTGCACTTTATATACTTAATTGAGCATTCCACTATTCATCCAAACCTTTTCTTTTCAGGTTGACTGGAATTTCCACATGAGGCGAGTGTCTTTGGAATATTATCTGTAATTTCAATTATGGTTTAACATTGTCAATAAAGAATAAATGAAATTTTGATGTGCATGACTAGTTCTCATTTCCCATATGTTCAGTGCATGTCTTGTAATCATGTGGTTCCAGAAATATATGTCAGACAATTATTAGAGTATACTGCATTTGAGATAATCATGGCAGCTGAATATTGCTGTTCTGTGGGATGTGTGGACTAGAAGATCACATGGTTGAATTTAATATCAATTGGAAGTACATTTGCATTGAGGCATTTACCAGAGGCAGCATTCCGAAATAAGGTGCGGTGTTTGACGTTAAATTACATGTGCAGTAAACCTCATGAACCAAATTAGGGAAGAGGAATGTGTGTATAATATGTTTGGTCTTCAGAGTCTGTGATTAGTATTACCGTGTTTAAATACGTAACCTCGACTATCAAGCGCATTTTGTTCATTTAGCAGGTGACAACGAATAAGTGCCTTTAAAATATGTGGGGTGTTTGATTCGAAGATTAGCATGACTCAAGCGTTCAAATGCGTTACGTCGAATTACACCCGAACATCAATAAATGACTATCATCATGCGCAGGTTGTTCATGTGGCAGGTGACGTCATCATGTATTAATCCGCAGAACTGATTTAGAATTCATTAGCAAGATCCATTGTACGGGATGAAGAGATACGGAATTAAATTAAGTTAATTCTAGACATACTAACTGTTTATATTGTATCATGTAAACATCTTGGACAGTAAATTCGTTGTGCGTAAAAGTATATTTCAGGAACTATTTACTGAAGTAGTGGGAAGCCATGTTGCATGGCAGAGAATTGTGTTCCCAGTTGCGAATGTAGAGTTGTGTGAAAAGTAGTTATAAAGAGCTAGATTTGGTTGAAGACGGTGCAGGGAAACATTACATGCTGGAGTCACTACAGCGGTAATCAACATGTCTCAGATGTTACCTATACGTTTTCAAGAGCACCTCCAGGTAATTGAAAGTCGCCTAGACGCCCGTTAGCTTCATTATGAATACCGCACTTAAAGAATGTTCCATTTGGCTGTATTAAAATAGTTTCCATGTGAAGTGTACGCTTCGTCATAAGGAAAACATGTGGTACTGAAGTTAATGCAATAAGTTTGAAAAGAAGAATATTTTATGAAATAATGGGTACATATTCATAGAACATGTAGGTTCGTGACATTTGGCAGAATAAAATAGTTTTTTTCTGATGCTGCTTGCGTATAACCGGGTTTAAAAGCCCACTCATTCACATCCAGCGGAATTTAAGTGTGGATTTTGTTCTGAATATTTTTGTAATAGGATATTAATATTTAGTGTATGGTCTAGCGTTTAATGATCTATAATTGGTCCTCGCGAATTTCCTTTTCGCATTTATTCCTGCCACTCCTATTTCGTCATCAGCCCGGAAATATGTAGGTCCCTTCGAAGAGTAATGTTCGTTGAGAAAATATACGGTTTGTTAGAAATTTTAGTCGTGTTTATAATATTTCCATTATTGCATACAGGAAAATCCATTTGAGCCATAGTGGTTATTTATGAAGTAGTTGCACAGATATTTTCTACCCTCGACCTTTTTTTTTCTTTTTTGCGGTAATAATCGTGTGGTTGCTGCCTGAAACTTAGTATGAGATTAATCTGCGTAGTTCAGATTGTAACATCTCATGCAGGATTGATTTATTAAGAGCCCAGTTTATGCACCATTGACCCATGCTCCAGGAAGCATGTATAAATCAGATTTGTTTTGTGTTTGATATCAGCGAAAAAGAACTCCACCAAGCAGTATTAACATTTAAGCCTCTGATATTGTTGAGTTGGTATGTTTGAATACTGTCAGTTTAGAGATTTCAAATTCACTTTTGCAAGATTTTCACAAAACTTCCCAATTACAAAGGAATAAACTATTTTTTCTCCTCCTGTAGCCATAGGATTAACTGTCATGAGAACAAACATGTTCCACAGCCATGAATGGCTCGCAGTTAACTGCTGTTACTGTCTGATATCTGTGACCCTATTTCATGGGTCTTGTATGTTTTGTAGGGGAGATTGTAGGCAGACACGTACATTGATTCGTTCCAGCCAAGATAACTTTACCCACTTCTTTGTGATTAGGCATATGATCTTTGGTACTGCTATTAACTGAACAAACTGTGGAGCAGGGTCCTTCTTGAGAAGCTAATTGTCACTCAGCTAGTAAAGAAATTTCTGGCCTTATGTGGATCCTGAAATTTCATTACTACGTTCTCAAGTGCCTGCCAGTGGACACCATCTTACGCCATATTAATTTAGTCCATGCCCTCGTATCTTGCTTACTTTGGACCCATTTTAATATCACCCTTTCTGTGCCTGGTTTCCCTAGTAGTCCTTTCCTCTCATCTTTTCAGACTGAAATTCTACGTGCATTTCCCATCTCTTCTTTATGTTCATGTCTTGCCCACCTCATCCTTGATCTGATCATCCTAATTACGTCTCAGAAAGCATACAAATTAAGAACCTCACAGAAGTATCTCCAGCCCCCAATACTTCCATTCTTAGTTCAGGTATTCTGATCACCCTGTTCTCATGTTATTGCAGCCTGTTCAAATTATCATACAGTTATGGGTTGTTTAAGGGCACTTTTACAGTATCAAACTGTGTAGCAACAGATGGTATGATGATTGATGAATTATAGATTGGAAAGAATTTGGAAGAATGTGGTCATGGTCTGATTGAGCTCTTATGCTGGCATGCAACATGTATTCATTCCTAGTCTTCCCCATTTTAATCACATGCCCATCTCATTTTGTCCAGTACTAAATAACATGTAGAAGTCGTTTATGATGCTAGAATCATCTGGGTACATATATTGTAGATTATGCCATGGCACTACACTAAGCTTTGTCAGTGCTGAGTTAAAAACCAGCATTTTACCGACCTGCCCAGTCTCCATCATTTGGGTCAGTGTCGGAAGTGACCATTAGTCACTGGTGTGGCACACTAGGCAATGGGTAATCACACAATTTGACTTTGCTCACCTACCTCTGTTTCTAATGAGACTTGCACCTTCTTTATGTTCCTAAGATTGCCATGAGATAAAAGTGTGAGCTTCCAAGATATAATCCTCAGCACATATTACACACATCCAAAGCTCTTGTCTGATTGAAGAGTTTGCACTTGAATGTGATATCTGGTCATTCGGTTGTGCTGTCCACTGTTTTTCATTGCATTTAAAGATCTTTCTGTGTAGTTTATGACTTTTTTTTAATGTTAGGTGTTCTCTTCTGATTTTAAAGTTGACAGGATGGTAATAATGGGGTTTTGTTGTGTGGGCTTTATTTTTTATGTGACATTGTTAAGTAACAGTACTTGGCAAACTAAACTAAACTTCTGGGCCTTTTTTCTTTATCTATTGGTAAGTACCCAGACTTATTGTTGTAACTGCCTTAGTGAAAGAAGATGAGAGGGGAGACAAAGGTCACACTTCTCCAAGCCTGTTGCATCAGTCTGCTACATGACATGTGCTGTGAACACGCATTGTTTTTACACAAGTGCTTTTATGACTTCATGTTTCATTTTGTCTGCAATGGAAGGCAAAATCGAGCAACGTGTCTGCATCAGGTTCTGCATGAAGCTCAGTAAATCCACTATCGAAACCCTCGAAATGCTTTGTGGGGCTTTTGGATAACATTCTTTAAGCCAGATAGCAGTTTTTGAATGGCATTCACATTTCAAGGCCAGTCAAATGTCAATTGAAGATGACGAACGTTCACGGTGGCCCAGCACCAGCAAATCCACTGAAAATATTGAAAAATTTCCATAACTCATCTACAGAGACCGTTACCGAATAATCCATTAGCTTGCAGACACCATTGTGATCAGTTATGGAGTTTACCAGGAGATCTTAACAGGAAATTGAACACGTGCCGCATTGCCACAAAGTTCTTCTCCCCAACTCTTGACAAATGATCAAAAGCAGCAGCGCATAAACGTGTCTTGAGCTACAAGAGAAGGCTAATGAGGGCCCAACTTTTATCTCCAGGGTCATAATGGGTGACGAAATTCGATTTACGGTTATGATCCAGAAACAAAGCAACAGTCAACACAATGGTAGAGCCCACAGCCACCAAGAACAAAAAAGGCGTGGCAGGTCCGGATTTCAGCAAACTCGGTTCTCATTGCTTTTCGATGTGAAGGGGATTGTTCACCGTGAATTTGTTCTTCCTAACACTAGGGACAGCTCTGACTTTTACTGTGACATTTTGAGATACTTGAGAGAACATGTGCGATGAAAAAGACCGGAACTTTGCTGCAGCCACAACTTGCTCCATCATGATGTGCCTACCCACACATCCTGAAAACCACAGAGTTTGTGATTAACAACATCGTTATCGTTCACCATCCTCCCTACTCACTAGACTTAACCCCCTGTGATATTTCACTTTGTTCCCTAATTGAAAGTGAAACTGAAGGCACAACATTTTGAAAAAGTGTCCGACATCCGAAGGGAAATTGCAAGCGGTACTCGACGTCATTAAGGAAAATTACTTGCATGGTGCTTTTGAAGCGTGAAAATAATGATGGAATCACTGTATATACATTCCCAAGGAAACTATTTTGATGGAGATAGCAGCCAGAATTGAGTAAGTTAAGCCAGCATTTCTTTTTTTTACCTAGTCTGGGAACTTTCAGATACACCTCATACATGTAATTAGTGCTTTCAGAATACATAATAAAAATGTGAAAATTTTTACTTGCATACAATGAATTCTTTAAACAAAGGAACTAAAACTGAAATAAAGTGTGTGTGTGTGTGTGTGTGTAAGTAAGTGTAAGGGTAAGGGAGGGGGGTCAGTGTATGTCATAGCATCAAAACTCTTTCTTGCTGCTGTCAATTCATTCAGCATTACTGTGAAAGTGCCATACCTGCAGGGATCCCAGATAACAGCTGAAAGAAATGATTAAGAGGTACTGCATTCACATGGCACAATGGACAGCTAATGACTAAAATCAGGAGTGGGTTTTATTTGTGGCTGGGTCTTATTATTACCCATTGCTGTTTTGTATGCTTGTTTCAGTTATCTTTTTCATTGAAGACCAGTAAGTTTCTTGTCCAAGATGTTTTATTCCAGTTTGTAGTTTTAGGAGGTGGCTTCAAGATTTACAGGAAATTTGTGCTAGTTTACCCGTGAACTTTTTATGTTAACATTTACAGACATGGTGATGCAAAACCATATATCTGACAATATTTAGTGGAAATTGTGGGCAGAAAATCAATAAATCGTATAAGTATTAATTTATAATTGCTCACACATTTTATCTTAGAGATGAAAGCATTTGAAGAAAATTTGTTTCCAGTACTACATATGTTCTGTAGTTCATGAATATAAAATGTGTTTGTAGTGTATCATCTTCATTTAATAATATAGGCAGGCAGACTCTTCTGGCTTCACATACTAGCTCAATCCATGAAGTATGTGAGTATTCAGATTAAGCTGAATATTATCAGCCTCCGATGTGGAGGACCAGGTATTTCTTTGCGATTGCTGAGTTTTGTGGACTTTCATTATTTGGAAAGAACACACCACTCTGAAAACTGGACATCTTTCTGTCCTCAGATGAAAAGATCAAATCTCAGTCAATGGACAACCTATGTCAACTACATCTTTATATCCATACGGTTTTGTTAACAGAAAATAATGAGAACGTTTACAGTAAGAATTGTGTAAATACCTGTGAAGATCTGAAGAGAGACAAGAAAGTAGAAAATAAATTGGTGAAACTGAACTCAGAACCACTTGTGCAGGAGAAATTGAAATCTACCTTCTCTACAATGCCTGCTTATCGTCAGTGCTCTTGATGGAAGAAAAATGGAAACTCCAAATGAAAATTAGATAAATGTGAAGGTCCTATGAGATTGTAGGGACCTTCACAATGGATAAGTTTCCAACCTCTTTGCTGATAAAGGGAATCCATATAGGAGATATTTCAGA